AATGAATGTATATGTTCTAAATTCTTCCCTACCACCTAGCTCATCAATGAAGAGTTCCAAGAACCGCGATCAGCTGTCTTTAGTTTCCCCTTCCACTACAACAAAAGCTATAGGTAACATCTGGTCATTGGGATCTGTACCAATAGCTGCCAAAATTTGAGCTCCACAAAGCCCCTTTAAGAAGCATCCATCAAGACCAATAATAGGCCTACACAACTTGAAACTCTTTTTGCAAGCAACATAACAAATATATAACCTCTTGAAATAAGGCCTTCTATCCTCAACACTTTCTTAAGCCAGTGTAACATATAACTTGACAGTTGAACCAGGATTTGTCCTTAAAACTTCATGACAGTAATCATATATCCTTGTGTAATCCCTTAAAAATGAGCCATTAACCATATCCCTAGCTGTAAATTTGGCCCTAATTGCCTTTGTCTTATTAACCCCCACATTCCATTTCTTTTGATCCTTTCCTTTTATATCCTTTAGCTTCAGCTTAGGATTATTTTTCAATGAATTTTGTAACCTCTTGCTAAGCCATTTTGTATTCATCATCTTTACATTATATTCCCTAGAGCAATTGTGGTTATCAACTATTTTCCTTAGTTGCCAAGTCTCCTCATTAGGTAACTTTCCATAATATGCCTCTCATTGGCAGTCTTCCTTACACACCACCTTCACTCTCTTTTTGTCATTTTTCAAAAACTTAAGACCTCTACCAGATTGGATAACATATGTTTGAATTGCTTCCTTATCACTTTTTGAGTTAAAATAAGTTCCCAACTCCCATTTATAATGAGCCATATCTTTCAATAACTTAAAAATGGGATACTTCTTCTTCCTTGGTTCATCACTCTCCTCACTATCACATCCACTATCTAACTCCTCACTATCATATAAACTCCCATTCTCCTCTCCACTGCTTCCTTCCCATTCCTTTATCTTCTTTTTACTTATTTCTTCATGGTTTCCATCATATTCAACAAGACTGTCTAAGTGTTCTTCAGAATAATCCACACTCATACTAGAATCACTAAATGTAACTTCCAAAGCACTATCATAATTGTAATTCTTATCCTCACTGCCATGAGAGTTTGTAATCTCATTCAAAAAACTAGCATTAGTATCTATAACATCATGAACCTCACCATCATTGTTCACACTATCACCTACATTCATACCCTCAACACCATTACAGTTCACACCCTCACCTACATTCATACCCTCAATACCATTATTGTTCACACCTTCACCTATATTCATACCCTCAACTAGGGGTGAGCAAGGGACGAGTTGTGATGGGTTATGACTAACCCTAACCCTGTCCTAAATTTTGATCGGGTTATTTTAATGACCCTAACCTGTACCTAAACCCGAAAAAAAACCCGATAATATATAAGTTAGTTTAGACCGGGTTAATGTAAGACGATATCGGGTTGACCCGAAATATATGGAGAACAAAATTTTAGTGTCTTAAGAAATTTATTATAGTGTTTTAAAAAATTCATTTAAATAAGAAATATGAATAAAATCATTAGCATGAATAAAAAACAATGAAGACATCTAAAGGCAATTTTTAAAATAAAAAAGATGATGCAATTCTATATATGTCATCACCTTTTTATTTTCACTAAAATATAGTAAGAAGACGTAAAATAAAAAATATGATGTAAGAGAACTAAAAAAGTGTGAAAGTTTGGAAGTGGAAAGACGTGTACTTAATACTAACTTAGTGCATATATTAAACTATGAGGTGAGAAGTGGAAAAGTCTATTGCAAATTTGGAATAATCTAAATATACCAATAAATTAAATAAATAAACAGTACCACACGTGCATTCATAATATTAGGACGGGTTGGGTAACCCGATGGTCAACTCGAACCCGTCCCACCTGATACTGGGTTCATTTTTGGACAGTTTTTTTTTCTATTTTTTTGCATGAGACAGGAAAAAGACTAACCCGAAATTATTGGGTTGGGACGAGTCTTCGAATTGGGTTGGGTTATGCACACCCCTACCCTCAACACCATTATTGTTCACGCCCTCACCTACATTCATACCCTCAACACCATTATTGTTCACGCCCTCACCTACATTCATACCCTCAACACCATTATTGTTCACACCCTTACCATTAGTGCCTACATTCGTATTCTTTATGACTTCTTCATAAAGATCTTCAAGGATGGATTCTACCTCCGGGTTAACCGTATTTAATGGTTCTTCATCTATGGCTTCTTCCTCCATCATGTTTATAGGATTTTCAACATATTCTGGTTGAGATAACGGATGTTCTATGTAAATGTCAACTTTTAAATGTACCCTACAGAGGCCAGCTACCTCTAATGCACCCTTATCATCGGTAAGAACATTCATTCCAAATGTAAGGTCATTGTAATATATAGTGTCTACCTCAGTGTAACCTAGATCTTTCAGAACACCAACCAATTCAAAGTATGACCACCTATCCACATCTATCTCTAAATCATTACATTCCCCCCCCCCCCCCATATAATCGGTTTTTTCAGAGTCCACAAACTCACCACTATGATGAATTTTCAAACACAAAATTTCTTCTATTTCTAACTAAGACAATAAAACGCAACATTACATACAAGAAAATGTAACATAATAGTAGATTTCAAAAGGGGCAAAAAATCCTAAATACCTATCAAATCAAGAAAACGCAACATTTACACACATTTCTAGTAGACAAAGACGTGTAAACTAACCTTCGTCTATGTTGCGTCTTTGTCTTCCTCAACTTGCTTCTTCTCTCTTCGTGCTCTTTTTCTTCCTCACCTTTCTTCTTCTCTCTTTGTGCTCTCTTTGGGCTTTCTATTTCACCACATGTTTTAATCAATGAAAATGCTAATATTATGATACTTAAGATGACTCCTCAGCAAGGCAATACCCATCATGCCACATAACCAAACCATTCATTACACATCATCAATAACTTAACACGTTAGCCAGATTTTTGATAATAATCTAACGTTTCTAACAGACAAGACTAACATGGTACCATTTTAATAATGTAAGGGACCAACTTGGAACTTTTAAAAGGAAGATGACCAAAATGGAACCCGAGTTATAGGTAGAGGATCAAAAAGGGTATTAAGCCTTTAAGAAACTATGATTATAGATATCGTCTGGTTATAGGTTCAAACACCAACATTTTTGGTTTTTAACTTATTTTTTCAAAATGCTGACAGACCTTTCACCACGAGTATTTAAAAAACTGTGATTATAGGTAGCGTTTTTTACTTATTTTTTCAAAATGCTGACAGATCTTTCACCACGGGTATTTAAAAACCCGTGATTATAGGTAGCGTCTGATCATGGGTTCAAGTCCCAACACCAACATTTTTGGTTTTTTACTTATTTTTTCAATTCGTAGCACCAACATTATAGGTGATGCGCTTATTGAGTTTATTCACTGTCCTTAAACAAATCTTGGTCATCCATTTAGTGATTATCATCGGTCAAGACACTACTATTAGTGATCCGCGTGAAACCTAAAACTTAGACAAACTTCCAACTTAGAAGAACTACATCTTCTACCTCTAAACATCATCTTTAACTTACGATACTCTATTTCTCCACTAAACCAAACTCAAAAACAACATTTCTTTCATAACAAAACTCAAAAATATCATTTCTTTCATTAACAAATTTCAGAACTCCATCATTTCTTCTACAACTTGAATGAGATAGGGAAAGTATGGATTCGAGTTAGCAATGCTAGTTGTTGGTGCTCTTTTTTTATTATTGTTGTTCTTGTTAACTAATTTATCTTTTTTAACTAATTTATCTTTTTTTATTATTATTATTTCAATTAAATTCTTTCAAGTGAGTTCATTAAACACTTAACTAATTTATCTTTTTTAACTAGTCACATTTTAAAAACTAAAAAAATTGCAAATAGAAAACATTTAGCAATAGTTTTGTAATTTGAGCATGTGTAGAGAGACACTATAATGACAGCATGTCATACAAAATAGAAACCAAACTGGTCATGAATGAATGGTCTGTAAAAAATTGGAGCATGCGAGTGCCATGTGTATTATTCCAATAATTCTCTTCCTCTCTGCATCGTGTGTTCAATAAATAAACAATATTATCGCTCTCGACTCAATTGAGTTACAAACAGACAAAACAACAACTATATAAATATAAATTTAATAAACCATGTAAAAAAGAAACAAGAAAAGGTAAGTAACTGATTAGGGTTTTTTTTGCATCTACATTTTCCACATTCTATTCTCTGTTCACACTTCACTCTCACAACAACCAGATCCATATTTGACTCAGGTACGATGTTTCCTTTCTCGGATTCTAGTTTCTCTTTCTGTTTTTGTTCATTCCACTGATTATTCTTGTTCTGTGAACGAATTTCGGGAATTTAATTTATTATTATGAAATTAAAATTTCTTGTTTAGTGGAATTCAGCTATGGTAATGATAATAGTCTAGTTTTTGAATCTGAGAAATGCTATAATGTTTCTGAATATTTTCTGGTGAGTAAATTTAGTGAATTCACATTTATTTGGAACTGAAAAGTGGAGGATTTTGAGTTTTATAGATCATTCTTTTAAATAAGAATTTGCGATTTCTCTATGTAATTAGCTAATTGTTTTCTTGGGCGTGTTTAGATTGACTTATTTGAACGTATCTACGAACAAGTTTTGCAAGATTGTTCGGAAGAACTTGTGAAAATAGCTTATGACATTGTCGATCGGCTGTTTTTAACTTATTTTCGTAAACTCTCTAAGATAGTTTATAAAAATAGTTTATAACTTATCTGAAAACAATTTAATCTTTTGCTATAAAACTAGCTTGTACTTATTACTTAAGTGCTTATCATGATAAGTGAAGTAAATGTGAATTATCTTACTTATTTTGCAGCAAAAGCAATTATGTTATTGTATTAGTTAAGACAACAGTGTGTCTGGGAAGGGTATTGGAATTAGCTGAGACGAATAAGATACAAGAGGATGTCAAGTAGTAGGGATACTCATTGGTGCTATAATTGCATGAAGTCGGTTCGATTGGGACGGCGGCATGCAGTTTGCTCTAGTTGTGATGGGGGATTTGTTCAAGATCTTGATGATATGGTTCATGGTAGCCCTCCAGACTTTCATGGAGTGGACAGTGATGAAGAGCTTGGACAAAGGTATGGACTAATGGCTGAAAATATCAGGGCACGATCGGATTCAATTCCCGAAAACGGTCCAAGGTTTACTACTCCTTTGTTAATCTATGGTGGCCAAATTCCATCCAGGTTTTCTAGACAAGGTGGCATTGAAGCTCTCTTAAACGGAACTCCTGGAGTTGGTGTGACTAGAGATAACTCAGGCGACTATTTTATCGGCCCTGGAGTTACAGAACTGTTTGAACAGCTTTCGGCTAATGACCAGCGAGGTCCCCCGCCTGCATCGAGATCCTCTATAGCTGCAATTCCTACTGTCAAGATTGCATTGAAGCATCTTCAGTCAGATCCATCGTGTTCGGTATGCCAAGATGACTTTGAGCTGGGGTCTGAAGCAAAACAAATGCCATGTAAGCATATGTTTCACTCAGACTGTATCGTGCCGTGGTTGGTTCAGCATAACACCTGCCCTGTTTGCCGTCAAGAATTGCCACCGCAGGGATCGAGCGGTAACCGTAGCTCGAGTAGAAGCAGTGGAAGAAGGAGAAATCCTTTTTCCTTTTTGTGGCCTTTTGGTTCTTCTAATTCTAGAAGTAATAATAGAGCAACGGAATGATGCCGATTGCTCGGAGTGAAACCAACCGTATGAGACCTCAGTCTATCAGTCTGTATTTGTTTTCTAAAGGTATCAACTGTTTTTTGTACAAACAGTTGGAATTACATATATTGTTTGATTTAATATTTATGTTAATATCACCTAAAGTAAATACTTATGCAATTAGAAATGGTTTACATGATGAAGTTCATCTTTAAAGTGTAGTTGGAAAAGAAGAAACTTCCCTTTTCCTCCTGATTATGCTTTCCACAAGTCATGAGGCTGCAAATACTTTATTATTATCTAAAAAAATTCATTTCAACTATGACATTAGAATCATTTTATTTATTTGTTCTTCCTATGTTTAGTTATATCCTTCTTACATGTGTTTTCATGTCAGTTTAGCAATGGGACACATTTATGTTGCCATGTGAATGCACCTAGCTTTCCCGGTTGAGTTAGGCCAATGAAGGTACAAACTCAATCATTTAATGTACAATATATTAAATAAAAATAACACAAAACATAGCAAAATATATGATGAGAACAGTATGTAATGAAATGAGATAGTATAATTTATAAATAAATAAATAAAGTTGTCCAGAAACACCAAGTAATTAGCATGTTATGCAGCAAGCTATGATGAGCTTTATGTTTTTGTTACACCATGATGAGCATAATTAATAACTCAGTTTTGTTATTTAAAGAGTTAATATAGCCCGTTTAATATTAACCGAAATATTCTATTTTGGGTTAGTACACTGGAAAATAAGAGTATAATTAATGGAGATAATTAATAGGGGTTTCTTCTGTGCACTTTTATGATTCTCTCGCACCACAAAGGAAAATCAAAATTATCTTTCTCTTTTGCAATTTAGACGCACTACACATTACAACAAATTAAATTTATCAGAAATGCAAGCACTTATTGCACAAAAATATATATCTGAATTACAATTTTTGAAACATCTTTAGGAGATTGGAATTTAGATACACTCTTTTATCTTCATTCTCTTACATTTGAAATCAACTCTATAACACAAAACTCTTTGCATTCAACATTATTTCAATTATTTCTCAATTTCTACTTTATTTTTATTTTTAGTCAAACTAAACGCCTTAATCAATTTATACTCATTTTTATTCAAACTAAGTATCTCTCATGTTTGAAGAATATTTGATAAATTTTTCATCTTCACCTTTCTTTTTCTGGTCATGACGCATGTCATTTCTTCATATAGTTTAATTAAGCTACATTATATTTCATCCAATAGAAATGTAATATATATTTTCTCCTTCTCTTCAGTTGGAAATATTTTGAAGATTACTTTAAGAAATTTCCACATGTCTGTTCCATTTTCCCACTCATGGAAAATCAGGTGATCAAGCCATTATGAATTGCACTTGATTGCATCGTGTCGGATGACATTTTTTTACATCGTACGGTGAGCAAGTCAGACACAGACCTTGGAAATGATATCATGGTACTCTAGATAATTGGTTTGTAGATATCGACTTACGTATTCATGTTTAGTTGAGCGAGTATTGCAGCAGTTTAGGTGTCTACAGTGTATTTCTAAAGACCTAACAATTGTTGCTTTTGCCATTGTCATCCACAAGAGATGTTGATGGGACATTTGGAGACTATGATGAACATCTTGTTGTGCCAGAGGATGTACATAGTGTTCCATCTCTTCGTCATAGAGTATGATATATGATAAAAGGGTTCAACAACTATTTCTTTTAGACCTACGGTTTCACCATAAGATAAGCACAAAACTAAGAAAGAATATAAGAAAAATAAAATTCTGAATAATTCTCTAAGGTTTCAAAAGAGCTTTAAATAGAAGCAGAATCCTATTGGATTGGACTAATGCGTCAAGCCCGCTTGAAGAAATAACATAACAAACATAACAATTAATAATAATTCTTTTTAATTTAGGTCATAGTCTTGCATCCACTTGGGCTTAGTTATGGTTCGTATGATGAGCATGTTCAGAAATGCAAGAACTGTAAATTAAAATGTCGTCAAAGAAAACTAAAACAAACCGGCGTGAATATGGTCGAAGAAAATCATTCATTGCCGATTGAAAAGAACTAGGAGCATTAGTTAGACCAAAAGGCATAACCAAAAGCTTATAGTGACCGTTAAACATTTTGAATGTTGTCTTGTTAGTGTCTTTTGGTGTTACCCTTATTTGGTGATAGTCTGATCAAATATCAATTTAAAAAAAACCCAATTTTTATCAACATAACGCTTTACTTTTCATATAAAATGACATCATGCGCAATCTACTTTCTGGTGGTAATTGATAAAAATTGAAAAAAATGGTCAGCTTAAAATAACCATTCCTATGGATTTGAACCATTAAACATTAAAAGTTCTAATTTGGGTCTTCGGAAGGGGGATGGTACGGGGTTTTGTTGGATTTGGGGAAAGGAAATTGGTGGAACGTAGGAATATTATAGTTTTGTGTGTTTAGTAGGGTGGTTGGTGTAGTAAGGTACGAGACGAGAAGAATCTAGGTATGTGGAGGGTTTGTGGTCCATAAGGAGGCAGTAGCTACAGGTGGTGGAGGGTTTTAAGAAAGAGTAGTTGAATGTGTATAAGGGGTATGGGCATGGGGGGAATTGGCAGTAGTGTAAATGAAGTTAATGTGGATTGTTGACATAGGAAGTGAGGGAAGAACATGAATGATATCTGATGAACTTGCAGTTGTGTAAACAGTAGTGACTTGTTTTTGTTCCTTTTGAGCTGCTAGCTTGGTAAGCATTCCCATGATGTTTTCATATCTAGAATCTGAAATATGTTTTTCATTGTCCATTATGGTTTGAATCTGCTCCAAATCTGCATTTGTTTTATCTAAGCGTTCATCCATTTGCTACTGCGTTTTGGGTCATAGCATTATCAAGATGAATGTGAGCAGTTTGGACAGCTTCTTCTACGATTTTTTTTAAAAGAAGGGTTTGGAAGTTTGGGAGCGGCAGTTCAAAAAATGAAAGCAGCAATTGATAAAAGGGGTTCAACAACTATTTTTTTAGATATATGATTTCACCATAAGATAAGCGCAAAACTAAGAAAGAAGATAAAAAAAAAAATTATGAATAATTCTCTAAGGTTTCAAAAAGTCAAAAGAGCTTTAAATACAATCAGAATCTTATTGGATTGGATTAATGGATCAAGGTCACTTGAAAAAATAACATAACAAATATAACAATTAATAATAATTCATTTTAATTTGGGTCATAGTCTTGCATCCATTTGGATTTGGTTCTGATTCGTATTGGCATGTTATTTGTATAAGGTTACATTTTATTGTTTCATAAGTGTCTCATCCTTACCTAAGTTACATTTAATTATTTCCTAAGTGTCTCATCCTTACTTAACACCAAATACAAAAAAAAAAAATTCTCATAGAACAATTCATCATGAAATATTAAGGGAGGAATAAGCGAGAGTGAACTATCTCGTAAATGTATTGTCGATATGACATTATATTATTGCTATTAGGAGAGGCAATAGCTAAAGGCATGTTTCATAAAGGCATTACTAAAATTAAACTCCTTGGTTTTTTTTTTTTTAAAACAATTAAAACTACAATGAATTTATGTGCTTGGCATCGCTTCTGATTTGATTTTTGGTTTTGAAAAATAAGGGAGTAGCATGATATTTGATCAATTTCTTCCCTATATTAAGATGATCATTTTCAGCAGCAATATACAAAGCGGTTTCACTTGAGTTATTTTTCATTGAAAACAACTCTTTCAATTCTTTTTCACCTTGATTCTCGAAGATGATTTCCAACACCAATTCCAAATTCCCAGCTAGAACGGCCGAGTGAAGGTGAGAATCACCACCTTAAACCTGTCCATTGCTTATTCGTCTTCTCCAAGAAACTACTTTGACGGAATTCCAACTTTTCAAATTCACTTTTTTTTCAATTATTTATTTGTTTGTTTACACCTCAATTAAAATGAATATTAATATAACAATGGCTTAAAATCCATCTTGGTCAAAAATCATCATGCCTAGGCTAAAGTCTTTTATATGATTTAAAAATGACTTATAAGGTATAGTTTTATTAATAATAAATAATAAAAAATTAAGTTAGTGTTGAGGACCGCTATTTTAAGATTTGTCTAAATTTTGAAATCTGAATTTTAATAAAATATATTTGGAAATTGAAATCCATACCTTTTAAAAAAAATATTTCGTAATTTAGTTGTAAAATAGATATGTCTGAATTTCAATCTCCAACCGTTACAAATTAAGGACATTTTTAAATTTTTATAAATTTTTATAAGATGCGTGCTAACTATATAAGCTAATTTGTAATGTGAATTCAGATACAAGCAACCCACAAAACCAAGGTGGCAGGTTTATATGAAAAATTAGTCTTCAATACACTTAATCACGATTAAGTGCTTGCATATATTGCATTCAAAGTTGACAAGAAAGCACACCTCACACTCAATATTTTATCCACTGATTTTTTTTTTCTTTTTCTTCATTGACACTGCAACCATTGAGCTATGTAAAAAAAATCACACCAAAATTAACACGCCAGCTCAGTTCAGCCCAAGAAACTAAAGACTTAAGCTCAACTCACTGCTAGAAGCCTGTTGAAGCAAGTAAAAGGAAATTATCTTTTCACTTTCTTCTCTTTTGTTTTGGTATTTACAAGACCAACTATGAGTGCATGAGGGGTATTCTACAAGACTTGCGAACTCTTGTATAAAACAAGACTAAATCTACAAACATCGACTAAATCTGTATCACAACTTACACAAGAGTATCTCCTACCATTTCACATCGAGTGTAAGAGCTTCTGGAGGAAGAAGAACCGGCCGCAACTTTGTATATGACATATTAGACATTAAATTAGCCCAAGAAACTGAATTAGATTCAATAAAAGGTTTAACTTTCTTGATTGAAAGAGGCTTGAGCTTGTTTTCTTCAACTCTAGCCAATATCTCAAACCAGACCCTTTCGACACTTGGCCTTGTTCTCCAATCTGGCAATGTACTAAGAGTGTCGTTATTTCCTATGCCTCTTTCCAATTCTAGAGGGAACTTTACAGCAGCAGATGCTTTGATATTTGCTTTGATAAGTCCAGAAAGTCGATGTTGAAGGATCTTATGACCAAGAAGACTTCTCAAAATTCTCTCCAACAAACTTAATCTCAAACTTGAGGAAGCAACCGGGCATGGTCGCTTTCTGAACACAGAACCATGGTAACATTTTTCTGGAAGCAACTCAACAGTGTCTTCGGAAATCAATGTAGTTTCTATATGTGCATTAGGGTTCCGAGTTCCATAAGCAATCAATGATGCAGAACCTATTACGCGTAAGGGAATTAGCGGCACACATGTAGATTGCAAAAAGGACCAGAACTCAGTCTTCCCTTTGTTATACACAACACTTCCATTCATGTGCAGATCAAGATCCGGCCAATAATAAAAAGAGATTTCCCGTGCTCTTCTTACTTCGACCGTAATCCCTTCACCAACAATTATGTGTTTCAAACCAATATGTGAAACATTCATCTGCAAACAGAACTAAGAGATTATTGAATATCAAGAGTTCAAGACTGCTACTTGACATGTTATATACTGACATAGATCATAGAACAGTAATCTTGTCAATGAATGGTAAAAAATTTCAATCTGTACAAACTATTGAGCAGAACAACACAGATGACTGTAAAAAAATTGTAAAGGCAAAAATGGCAGTAAATTATTTTTCTTTCAAAGGCACCAATGCAAAGCCATCTTTGACTTTGAGACATCGTTAGTTACAAAAATAAGATGTCAATGCTAGTAGAGCAATATACTGAGATCTAATTTGAAAAAACTTCTCAACAAACATAGAAGCCCTTATAGGGGACGAAATATCAAAAGAATCGTTGTTATAATAACTATGAACAGGGTCACTTCTTCCATAGAGAACATGTTAGAAAGCAGAAAATCTAAGTATTTTAAACAACAGCTTCTAGTATATTTGAAAATAGCATCAATATTTCAACTTTTTGGGAAGCTCTCACACTTGACATTTCCATAAACATGTTTAAACTTATAATTTCCATAATTAGCAAAACCATAAAATTCTTTTAATTGAAAAGCTCTTGTGAAGCTGTGAGTCAGAAGCTAATCCAAACAAAGCCTACAACGTCTAAGGCTATATCATAGAGTAACAATAGTAAATACACATAACAGATAACCATATGTCATCAACAGCAGCAACAACAATCTACGAGGCACCAACATAGACATAAACACCGGACACAATACAAACACTAACATGTAGATCCTAGTAATAATCTGAGAAAATAAAGTGATTGTGTGGAATCACAAGTGTCTGTAGCGGACACCAATACATGTTGGTGCTATCAAATTTAAATAGAGTTAATTACCAATTCGCCTCCTGAAACTTGCAAATAGGCACAAAAAAAGACCCCTGCTTTGAATGAAGTCATGCAAATTGGTCTTTTTCTAATTTGTAAGGACTAGTTTGACAGTAACTAATACTACTTTCCATCCTATATATAAGCAACAACTTACTTTTAGATACATTGAATAATCAATTTATATGGACCATATATGGACCGGAGGGATTCCAAGAAGACTAATTTTTTTTTTGGTATGAACTAAGTATCCTCTGCGCGCAACTATGCAGACTAATTCCTCGAGCCGGAGAGGACCACAATAAGCGGCAAAGCTCTCCCTCAAAAAATTTAACACTGCTGCATTCCCAGGGCTGGGTTCGAACCCAAGACTTCTGGTTAAGCTGGAAGAGACCCTTACGATCTCAAGGAAGTGTTCTTGGGCATTCAAAGACTAATATGCCAGTAAGTGATAATTTAAAGACAAACTTGATAGTAAGTTGTATAATTCGATGGCTAATTTTAAAGTAAATTAGATACAAGTTAAGGACCAAGTTGGTTGACATAATTCAAATCAGATACTTTTTTTTCTATTGGCAAATTGTGGAAGTGAAAAATGACTGCAAAATTCAAAACCCAACAAAACAAACTTTAATTAATAATTAGCAAGTAGGGATCTGAATTATGGCTTACAGGCAAAGAGAGTGAAAGGTGGTGAAGTTCATCAACCCGCAACTCAAAGGGACCTTCCAGTTTAACATCATCAAGGAAAACAGTCGAACTGAGTTGATTAACAAGAGAATCTAAATCCGGTTTCGGTGTGGCAAACTTGTTACTCCAAGACGCAACTTGATCAGAGAATTTGACGGTGAAGTTATTCTTACCGGAACCAATTCGGAATTCGTAGTTTTGGGAAGTTCCAAACCTAATTTTGGCAACATCGAAGTTGAAAATTGTCACATCGTTGAAATCCCAGTTTTGCTTCGCTGAAATTGCCTTCAAAATATCCTGATTCAGATAAATAAATTCACCAACAAAAAAAAAGAATTCAGAGATTTTGTTATTGTAAATTAATAAAGAAAGGGAATAGGGTTTGGGATTGGAGGATGAGTAGTTAGTTAGTTACCTGGAAAATGTGTGTGAGATTGGAATGAGAAGAAGAAGAAGCGTTTGAAAAAGAAGCGAATTGAAGGAGGAAGATAAATAATGAAAGTTGAAGACGAAGAGTTATCATCGTCTTCCGGGAGAATCAATGGAGTAGAGCAGCTATACGCGAGAGAGTGAAATCAAGAGATCTCTTCTTTGCTCGTAGATAAATCTAGAAAGGGATTTTGTTTGAATTGGTTTTCGTCTTCTGTTTTTTTCCTTCTTTCTTTTTTTTTTAATTCTTCTTTTGATTCTATTTTTAAAATTTAATTTTTTTATACATAAAAATGTCTTTTTCTTATATCCACCTGATTGTATTTTATTTTTATTTTTATTAAAATTAAAATTAAAAATAAAATTATTTATTATAAGAGAATATGAGATATACTACCACATCATCTTCATATATTCTGTCAAATCAGTAAATTTTAAATTAATAATATAATATAATAAATTGATGAATTCGTATTAAATATCAGTGTAAAATTATTTTACACTCAGTGTATATCAATTAAACTTTTATTATAATTTTAAAAAAATTAATTTTAAAGCTTAAATATAATTTTATTCTCATTTTTTAATTTTTCTAACTTTTTAATTCTTTTTAGAAAAAATAGATTTTAGGTCCGTTGTTAAAAAGAATACATTTTATGTCCCTTGGGAAGAAAATTCTTGAATTTGTTGGGTCCTCTCTCATATTTGATTACGTAACAAGTTCATTTATGAAGTGACAAAATTTATAAAAAAAAACTTTTGACACACCATTTAAAACCAATTTTAAATTAAACATTTTTAATTAATTCATCTAATTATAAAATATTAGAAATTGTGATATTTTTCTCCTTTTCAGAAAACTTTCAAAAATGTATCTTCAGACAAGTTCATATTCGTTATGAAAATACATTTTCGAACACAGTGTAAGTTTTTTAGAAAAAATTGATGATTAATGTGCACAATATAGAGGGAAAAGAACAATCTTTACTTGAAACTATATCTTCTTTTACTCCTGTGATATGTTGAACCAAATAGATGCAGATTTGAAGTGAAAAATGAATTGAGAATGAAGGATTTTTAGAGTGAAGAATTTGGTGAGTCCTATGTTAGATATTTTCGGAGATAAATTGCTAAAAATACTTGACATGCAAAGGTGACATCAAATTTCAAAATGTTGCCCTTAGTTTCAGAGATGCATCTCCAAAATATCTACTGAACTGAACAATTAAAATGTTTTTTCTTAAAATGTTTCGGGGTTATATCTCCGGAATGAAACTAACCAAATATACGGGGTGTATCTCATAATGACCTTAATTGTGTATATAAAAGATATTTCCAAAGATATATCTTCAAAACTAAAAAACATATGTAAAAATTCACAGTGTGTGTTTGAAGTATATTAAGTGTAATAAAAAATTCTTTAATATTAATCTTTATATAGTCCACATATGCTTAATACTTAATGCATTGTCGTCTTGTGGAATGGAAAGCTACTAAAATGACATGTCAGAGCCTAAAAGAATTCTTTTAAAATTTTAATTAATTAATTTAAAAAATATTTCTAAATAATTTAAATTAAAAATATTAAACTCAAATTTATTAAGTAAAAATGTTTTGATTAATAAATTTTGTATAAAATTTTATTTTTATTTTTTTAAAATATAATTATTTATAATATTATTAAAAATATTAGTTCATAATTTTTTAAAAATCTTTTTATCTCAATCCACATTATTAAAAATAAATAATTTATCCTAATTATTATTTTCATATATGTAAAATTTGATAGAGACAAAAAATCTGAAGAGAAACAAAATTAAGGGATAAAAAGATAAATTTTTTTAGAGACTAAATATTTTAAAATATATAAATAGGTCGAAACAAAATCCATTTAAATATTTATTTTTAAAATATATATATTTCTTTGTCGGGATTGACCTTTTATATTAAAAAAATGATTATAATTTACTTTAATGAATATTTGATGAAAAGTTGAAGACAAAAATAAATAAGAAGTTTACTTTCAATTTTTAATTAAAAACCTCTCATGATGGATTTTCTCTCATCCGCCAATGCGGCCGCCTAAACTCTGCTTCTCCGTCGTCCTCCTCCATGGCTGCTCCGATTATTATCCCTTGGTTATGCCTAAACTCCATCTCTTCAAAGACTCCCCCATCCACCTTTAGCTTCAAAGTTCTCACCGCCTCGAAGAAATCCTTTGTTGAGGCAGTCAATAATGTCTGTGACATAATTATTAGCTAACTCCCTCAATCGATTGTCAAAGAGGATCGTATCTCAATCACCATTTCAGAGGATAAATATATGGCGGGCCTCGAATCCTGTAAGCATAACTTTCATGGTCGAATCATATGGCCAAAAGGAGTGTCTCTTTTGAAGGTGAATGCTTTGAAAAATAAACTTTCTGATATCTGGAGCTCTCTGGGTAAGTGGGGGCTCACTTCGCTTGGAAAGGGATTTTTTGAATTCTCCTTTCGCAGTTTCGAAGATCTTCAACAGGTTCGATCCACCAGTTCTTGGAATTTAAATCTTGGAGTTCTAAAGTTGTTTGCCTGGTCTAGGGATTTTAATCCGTTTACTTAACACCAAACTTTTGCTCAGGTATGGATTTGAATCTCTGGCCTCTCGCAGGAATACTGGAGGCCCAAAATTTGTATGTTATTGCAAGTGCCATAGGTAGCTCTATATGTATGGATGATACCACCACGAAATCTATGTTCGACCGATCTTTTGGCCACTTTGCCATAATCCTAGTGGATTTAAACCTTACTGCTAAGTTCAGGAACTCTATCCTGGTGTAAAGGAAAAATTATGCGTTTTTCGTGGATGTGGCCTGCAAAAATATCCCTGATTTCTGGGGTCACTGCAAGTTGATTGGGCATCATGTAGGTATTCGTAGGAAGCTAGGCCGAAAAGGTGATATAGCCAAGCATAAAGATCCATCTACCAGTAAAAAAACGTTTGTGCCAAAAGATATTGTGGGGTGAATGGTCACCTTGATCAGGCTTTGAATTCTCCCTTGGCAGGCACCCCCGTAATGAACTCTGGTCATTCTGAGGATGATTACATTCCCTTCTTAACTCCCAGGGTCGATTTTATTAGACAGATGGATATGGAATATGGCCCTTTCCTTCCAGACATCATGGTTGATTCCCACGTCCCCTCTTCTGCTCATGTTCCTGACAAGACTCTCATTCTGGAAGTGGATGTCTTAAGTTCCAGTGGATTGGAGTTTGTAAATGCTACTCAGTCGAATCAGGTTTTTCTGTTAGATAACGAACCTCAGGCATTCAAAAACCTTCAGAAGGACATGGGTTTCCTTCAGCAGTCCTGGGCTAATTTGGCTGAAGAACCAGATAATCCTTTAGACTATGATAATAACTTTCAACAAGTTATCTCCAAACACTCCAAGAAAAAGTCTAAGTTGGTTTCTAAACCTGCTATGAAAGGTCCCAACACCAGAGCTCAAGCAGGCTCTTCTAGTGTGATCAAATGAATTGCCTTTTTGGGAATGTCAGAAGGCTTGTTAATCAGCCCACCAGATTAGCTTTCAAGAACCTTGTCATAAAACATAAACCTGACCTATGCTTTATTGTTTAACCTTGGATGCCTCTAGATAATCTTCCTCATGGTTTCTTCTCAAAGCTTAATTTAAGAATTGTTGTCACTCATAAATTAGGGTTTCTCCCAAATCTCCGGTGTCTTTGTTCCTCTCATTTTGACCCTCATATCATCCTTCAAGATGACCAACATGTTTCTTTCATAATCAAGGATGGTTCTTTTTTTGTTTTTGTTTGGCTGCCATTTATGCCTATACTTGTTACATTAAAAGACGACAGTTGTTGTCTACCCTCTACTCTTTGCCTCATTTGCAGAACGTGCCTTGGAGCTATATTGGAGATTTCAACACTATTATAGGGGCTTATGAACATATGGGCTTTTCTAACCCGTTCAGAACACCCATTGAAGACTTTCAAGAATGAACTGATAATCAAGCTCTCATCCATTTCCCCGCCAAATGGGCTGAATTCAAATGGCACAATGGTAGGAAAGGAACTCAACATATTGAAATGAGGCTGGATAGGGTCATGTGTGACCAAAACAGGATTCAATTTTGCAGCAGCTCTTCTGTTTCCACCCTTACGAGACACAAATCAGATCATTATCCAATCTTTCTGATTTTTTATTATCATAAGGTCAAGGTGGTTCCTAACTTCAAATTTCTTTCTATGCGGTCTGAACATCCTGACTGTCTTAATGTGATCAAAAAGTGTTGGGAAACTAAGTTTGTTGGATGTCCTATGTACATACTATCACAATAGCTTAAGCTTCTCAAAAATAGGCTTAAGGTCTAGAACAGAGAAACCTTTAGAAATGTCCATGACCTACTGAGGAAAGCTACCATAAAACTTGATGATATCCAAGCTCAAATACAGATTGGTGGCCAGACTGAAGACCTTTTTGCTCAAGAGCAGTCTGCTCAAATTTAATTAGAAACTGCTTTAAAACTGGAAGATTTATTTTGGAGGGAAAAATCCAAGGTGAGATGGCACAATAATGGATATAGAAATATTGCCTACTTACATGGGATGGATAAGGTTAGGAATTGCACCAAGTTGGTGTCCTCCATTCAGCATGAGTGGAAATTATTACAGATCCTGGAGCCATTTCTAACATTTTCTTAGATCACTATGTGAGCTTATTCAATTCCAGGAATGACTCAGTTGACAATGGTCTTGTGGGAGAGGTGATTCCAAAGCTAGTTTTTTATCTGTTCAACTCTATCCTTACTTCAATCCCCAGTCATGCTGAGATTCACAATGTTGTTTTTTCTCTGAAAAAAGATGGTTCTCCAGGGCCTGATGGTTTTGGTGGTCATTTCTTTCAACACTACTGGGATATAATCAAAGATGAAATAATCAAGGCTACGACTCAATTCTTCTTATTTGGATGGCTTCTTCCTAATTGGAATGCCAATTCAATTATCCTTATTCTTAAATACTCTAACGCTAATATGGTGGATCAGTTCAGGCCAATTGCTTTGGCTAGCTTCAAATTAAAAATTCTAACCAAAGT